TAACAAGGACCAAGCAATCTATCAAGACCCTGTCTCCAAATTTTAAAAAAAGGATCAGGATGTAGCTCAGTGGCTGAGTACTTGCCTAGCATGCACTAGATCCTAGGTTAGATCCCCAGGACCACCAAAAGAAAAAGAAGGCAAATATAGACAAATTGAGAATCATCAAAATCCATTGTACTTCAAAGGACTTCATCACGAAAGTGATAAGACAATACACAGAATGCAAGAAAATTTTTGCAAATCCTATGTCTGATAAGGGACTTGTATACAGAATATATATATATATATATATATATAAAACTGAGGCTGGTTTTGAACTTGCGATCCTCCCAATAACAAAAGGACACAAAATCCAATTTAAAAATCTGCCAAGGATCTGAATTGACACTTCTCCAGAGATGATATATGACCATGCAATTGACAGAATGACGGTAATCACATGGAAAGATGTTCAACATCATTCGCTATCAAGAAAAGCCCAATCAAAACTATGGTCAGATACCAGTTCACACCCACAAAGATGAATGTAATAATTTTCTCAAAAAAAAAAAAAAACAGATAAAAATAACAAAAGCATCATCAAGGATCTGGAGGAATTGGAAGCCTGGTACATGGCTGTAAAATAGTACCATCATTTCAGAAAAGACTGGCAATTCTTCAAAAGGTTCAGGATGGGATTGCAGGACGGACCGTGGGTATATCCACCCCTAGGTAAACACTAGAGAGAAACAGAAACGTGTCCACACAAAAACTCTCCTGTGATCATCCAGGGAGGTATTATCAGAATAGCCCCAGAGCAGAAGCAGCCCGAATTCCCATCACCCGATGAGTGGATAAATGAGATGTGATCTATCTATAACATGGAGCAGTACTTGGCAGTAAAAGAAACGAAGTACTAGTATTAGCTATGGCGGAGTGAATCCCAACGACCTGCCAAGTGAAAGAAGCAGGTCCCAAGAGTGTCTGACTCCATTTATAGGAAATGTCCAAAATAGAGACAGAAAACAGACCCAGGTTTGCCAGGGGGAGGAGGTGGGGTGAAGAGAGGAGGAGCAGCTGCTGGTGGGTGTGGAGTGTCTTGGGGGAAGGAAAGATTTTTTTTTTGGTTACCAGGGATTGACCTCAGGGGACACTCAACCACGGAGCCCCATCCCCAGCCCTATTTTGTGTTTTATTTAGAGACAGAGTCTCACTGAGTTTCTCAGCACCTCACTTTTGCTGAGGCTGGCTTTGAACTTGCGATCCTCCTGCCTCAGCCTCCTGAGCCTCTGGGATGACAGGTGTGCACCACTGCGCCCGTCAGAATGTTTTGATGTTGGTACTGGGATTGTGGCTCAGCGGTAGAGCGCTCTCCTAGCACGGGTGAGACCCTCAGCACCACATAAAAATAAAGGCATTTACACCTAAAAAAAAATATGTAATAAATATTTTAAAAACATGACATTTAAAACTCAATAACAAAAAAATATGTAATAAATATTTTAAAAATAAAAATAAAATAAATAAATAAAATCAAGGTATTGTGCCCATCTACAACTAAAAAAAAAAATTTAATATTTTAATCTTGATTGTGTGGCACTAGTTGAACAACTCTATGAGCATACAAATTTTACACTTTAAATGGGCAAATCATATGCTTTGCAAATTAATGAAGCTTTTATTTAAAAGTGGGAATTATATAAATAAATAAATAGATACTGTGCAAACAGTAGCCACCAATAAAACATTTTTGGTCTTGAGTTATCCAGTTGCAATCTCTTGTGCACAAGAGGAATATAAAAATTGACCCTACAATAGCATTGCTTTGGGTTTTGTCCAAATAAGAAGCTCAGACATACAGTAAATACTTGGGCCAAAGCTCTGGGCTCTGTGTTATCAAATTGTAGGGAGGAAAAACAATGTTTCCCAAAGGGAGCAGTCCTTGTGTCTTCTAAGAAAACAAACACTGCTGTGTGCAACATTGTATCGGAATCTGTTGCCAGTGAAGCTCTCACCAGTTCATGGCCAAGGTCTAGACAGTCGTCTGGGACTCTCTGGGGCTCGGGCAGGGGCTGCCCATCAGCCAGGTCCCCACGGGGACTCTATTTCCACTTTGCTGGGTTGGTTGAAACTGTAAACTGATTGAAACCCTTGGACTCAACTGTGTATACACTCCAAACACAGACCTTATCACCTGGAGGTGAAATCTGAGGCTGTTTGTAGTGTTTGTTGATTTCTTTTTTTCACTTGGCTAAAGACCCAAGGGACCACACTAGTTAAAGTTCAGCCTGCGTTTAACATTTAACAGTTATTTACCTTCCGTGGTCACTACTTTGGCTACAGGTAATACTATGGTTTACTTAATATATTTCTTTAAATCTGCCCCCCACACCCCCCACATACACTTTTTTTTTTTTGGGGGGGGGGGGGCTTGGTTTTGTTACTTTATTTTGAACCTAAAGCAAAAGTCCAGATCTACAAGCCAGAAAGAACAAGGTCACCTTTAAAGTGTCAGAATTATTAAATGAGAAAAGGTTGGGATTTTTTAGAGAGGTCCTTTGTTACCTCTCCCACAAACTACTCGCTGGAACCAAACGGGCTCTTTGTCTACATGAGACTGGCAAAGCCCTGTTCTTTCCACACGTGCCCATTTATACTTGTTGAAAATAATGTGTAAGGACGAAATGACCCGAGCCTCTTGCCTGGTGCCTGTGTGGTGGTGAGTAGTACTTCAGTGTAGCTCTTGTAGTTGTTGCTATGACAATTATTATTATTATTATTATTTTTAATGATGTCAGGGCAGGAAATGGACCTGCTGAGCAGATGCAGGGGGGGGAGAGGGTCTGAACGTTCATCTTCTAGCCATGATGGCCAGGGGAGGCACTTGGAGCTGGATTTCCATCAGAGGACAGAGGCATGGAGTTGGAGAGGAAGCCTGTAACACTCCCATCTCATTCCACAAGGAAAGAAAGGGCAGAGATGTTGCCGTGTCCCCAAATTAGACCAGCACTGAACATGTGTGGGTGTTTAAAAATCCCTGTTTGGATACGGTTACCTGACTTTATCTATTTAGCTATTTGATGGATTGCCAGGCGCCATGCTGGACATTGTTGAAGATGCAAAACTGCTGTCCTCAGTGAGTTTGTGATCTTATGGGGGCGGGGGAGCCATGGGCACAAATAACTAAAGAACAGAGTAAAACCAGGTGAATTTCTTTTTTTGTTAACATTCTAATGACTGCAAATGACAGATGCCCAGATTGGATCAGCCGACATAAGAACACAGAGTAAATGGATTGGTTTCCATATCCCAGGAATAAGTTGCTTTCAGGCATGGCTGGATCCAGATATCCAGATGGTGTTGTCAGGAATCTCTTCTGTGGCTCTGCTTTCCTGTGTTGGTTTTATTCTCAGGGAGGCTTAGAAGTCTTGGCTAAAAAAAGTTGAGGTCTCTTCCTTGACTTTTTCTTTAACTTAGTGATGGAACTAAATCCCGGTGGTCCATATTAACAATGATCACGAGAGCATCCCCCAGAGCTAGGGTGGAGAACCATCCGGCAAGTCACACCAAGGAAGACTCGGGGGAGGAGGGTCCCCCTGCAACATCAGAGCAAGGGGGAGAGGACGCTGGGCCAGCAGGTGCCACACTGCCTGCCATGGTGTCCCCAGCCTGGAGTGGCTTTCTGAGGAGGGGTGAGGGTCACTCCCATGTGAACTCCAGAGAGCTCCCTGGAGGCGGTGGCCTCTGATCTGCATTGAAGGTAGAATTCAGTTGTCTGTGGGAATCCATCTCGAGTGTCCTGCTTCCAGGCTGGGGACAGAGCAGGAAGGAATTGTGTTTCCTGGGAAGCCACCCCCTCCAGGCCCTGTGACACCAGTCTTCCTGTCACCTCTCGCCGTTGGGAGTCTCAGGGAGCATTCCTCCCTCACCCACAGCGGCCACCTGACGCTGGGCAGCCGGCCTCACCCCATTCCAATCAGTATCCGCGAAGCTGCTGGAATGTTCTTTCCAAACCCGATGACCTCACCCCCCACACCCCCGAAGTCCCAGTCCTCCCTCAACAAATCTCAAGTCCCCAGTGTGGCCGGGGAGGCCCGTGCAGCACCGTCCTGCCCCCAGCCCGCGCCCTGGCTCCGGGCCCCTTCCCCAGGGACCGTCACCTGGGCAGCCCCTCCCCCTTCTGGCCAGGACACTGGCCGGCCAGGCGGTGTCCACGCGGTGGCTCTTGCCTCCCAGCAGCCTGTCGGGTGGAAGATGAGGGTCACGGTGACTTCACAGCCCCGGGAACTGACTGCCCAGAAAGTGATCGGCTCAAAGGGCCAGAGGGCGGCCGAGCAGAGGTTCAAAGCCAGACGCCGTCACCTGGTGCTTAACCAACCGCCGCCCTCTCCTGCCTCTGGGGTCTCAGGGGACAGGGCCCCAAGGCTGCCTGTCACCATCTGAAGTTGGCCGCTGGACGCAATTGGTTCACGGACATCATCCTGGCCTCAGCCAGCCACTGGGCAGGGCAGCGAGCACGTGGAGTCCTCGGTCTGTGCCAGGTCCCCTGGATGGCTGGCACTTTGTCTGCGACTCCCAATTTCACCCTCTCAGTGGATTCTCTAAATGAGATAGGATGGGGCCGGGGGTGCGGCTCAGGGGTAGTGCACTTGCCTGGCATGACTGAGGTCCTGGATCCAATCCCCAGTACTGCAAAAGAATAAGAAGAATAATAATAGAATTTGGCATGATTACTATCCCTGTTTTGCACAAGGAACACCCGAGGAGCTGAGAAGTAGCCTGTCCAGTAGCGTGTGCATGCCCACGGCGGCAAGAAACCTCCGTTTTGCTCATCATCGAGCAATTAGTGGCTGGTATACAGCAGGCGCTCCATAGGACCAATTTCGTGGCTGGTATACAGCAGGTGCTCAATAAGTGCTTTTTTTTTTTTTTTTTTTTTGGTGGGACGGTTGGAGGGATGGAGGGCAGGAAGGACGGCAGGAAGGGCGGTGTCCCACGGCCCCCGTGTCTCCGCAGGGGCCACCATGCACGTGAAGAAGTACCTGCTCAAGGGACTGCACCGGCTGCAGAAGGGCCCGGGCTACAGCTACAAGGAGCTGCTGGTGTGGTACTGCAACAACACCAACACGCACGGGCCCAAGCGCATCATCTGCGAGGGCCCCAAGAAGAAGGCCCTGTGGCTGCTGCTCACGCTGCTCTTCGCCTGCCTGGTGTGCTGGCAGTGGGGCGTCTTCATCAGGACCTACCTGGGCTGGGAGGTCAGCGTGGCCCTCTCCCTGGGCTTCAAGACCATGGACTTCCCGGCCGTCACCCTCTGCAACGCCAGCCCCTTCCAGTAGGTGGGCCCTGGAGCGTCCCCTCCGTCCTCTTCCCCTTCCCTCGCTCCCGGGCTTCCCGCCTCCGGTGTCTGTCTGTCTGCCCAGTGCATCTGGGCTTCCCGGGCAGCCGCGAGGAGCCGGCACTGTTCTGGGCGCTGGGAAGGCGGCAGAGAGCAGATCAAGCCCCCACCTCTCTCCACCTACCAGAGCAGACGGGCTGCAACGGGTTTCAAGATGGGATTGGTTATGATTGTGACGGAGACACTTTAAACTCCCCAGGGAGTGCTTGGGGTATGCTAGGCATGGTGCCGAGTGTCCTTGGGGGAATTGGTCTCATTGTGACCCACACCACTTCCCCAGAGGCGGGCGCTATGTATGTACGAGCTCCAATCTGCAGGTGAGGAGATGGAGGTTCAGAGAGGTGCATGAATTTGCCCAGAGATGCACAGTGGGCAACTGTGAGATGGGAACCCAGGGCTGATCTGATTCCACTTTTTAACCGCTCTGACATATTGGCCCTTCCCTATTTGACAACAAGGCTGCTGAAGGGGACCTGCAGGGAGAATCAACCTCATCAGGGTTGAGGACAGGCAGCTGGTCACAGAAAAGTGAAGAGGAAGTGAGACAGCGCCCCAAGTGGCTGACATGGTGCATATGCAAGGGCCCTGGGGCAGGCAGGTGTTCAAGAAATAGAAAGGAGGGCCAACGTGGCAGAGCCATGGAGGATGTTCTCATCCCAAAGAAAGTCCCAGAAGAGGATTCCCACCTCCTGATTACATTTCCAGTTGTCAGAGGTCCCATCGGAACAGGGCTTTGCCCGCTAGGGTGGGTCCTTAGAGCTGCTCAGGAGAACCCTTAAGAATCATGGCAGCCACGGACACTCCATCTGGGCACTGCTGCATGGACTTTGTGAGCCCCCCAGTAACTCCCGGAGCTACACATGTTTATACCCTCATTCTGTCGGTCAGAGAACAGGTGTTTGGAGAGGTTACTACTGGTCAAAGGTCAAGCAGATATTAAGGGAGAAGCCAGGATTTGAACCCAGAGCCCGCACAGTGACCACCAATCTCCACAGCAGCTGTGGACATGTCGGCCACAGCGATGCCACCACCTTCCCCCTCCTGAGCGCCCTGGACGCAGCCCAGTGGTCGAATGATGGGGAGACACGGTGTCGGTGGGGCCTGAGGCCCATGCGCCCTTTCTCAGGACCATGGACCTTGTCCAGGGCTTGATGACCCTGCTACAGGATGCCTCCAGCCAGAGCTGGTGCCCAGGGCCCTGGGGACCCTGATGACGAGGTCCTATGTGAATGGATGCGGGTGACCAGGGTGCAGGGCCCTCCCCTCTCCATGGGGCCTGGGGAGGACGCCCCCGGCTATTTCTGGCACCGCGTCCACCACGGGAGGCCCCAGGAGCGGAGGGAAGTCCTAGAGCCAGCCCTGCGGCCCTCCACCCTCTGCGCCTTGGTCACCACTGCTAGAGGAACAGGACCCTCCGAGTCACAGCCCTGTCCCCCTCCTACCTCTCTGTCCCCTCCGAGCAGAACCCCTGGCCCACGGGAGCCCACCCACCCCGGGTTCCCATCTCAGCTCTGCTCCCTGGCCATGGGGTGAGAAATCACGGCACGTCCCAGAGCCTCGGTTCCCTTGTCCCTGCGCAGGGACGATGATAGAATGCAGCAAAACAGAAAGCGCCTGGCATCTGGCACGTGGCTAGCGATCAGTGACCCCAAACTGATGATGCTGGTGCCTAGCTGTGAGTTTCACAGGGAAAGAGGAGCGGTCCCCTTGGGACCAGTACCTGGCACATAGTAGGTGTTCATTAAAGACTCAGTGAATGAATGAAGGAATGAGTGGGCTGTGGGAAGGCACGTGGGTGGGTGGAGAGAAGGACGCTCAGGCAGGACATCCTTCTTGACCTGGTGGCATTGCGCCGGGGGCAGGAGGATCCCAGATTCCGGTCCCCCTGCTCAGCACCCTTGCCCACCCGACGGGGCCTCTCCCCGTGCAGGTATTCCAAAGTCAAGCACCTGCTGAAGGACCTGGACCAGCTGATGGAGGCCGTGCTGGAGAGGATCGTGGCCCCCGAGCCAGGCCGGGCCAACGCCAGCAGCACCCTGAACTTGACCATCTGGAACCACACGCCCCTGGTCCTTATCGATGAGCGGGACCTCCGCCACCCCGTGGTCCTCGACCTCCTTGGGAGTGACAACACCAATGGCTCAGCAAGCGGCAGCCCAGCCCCGGGAAGGACGTGTAGCGCCCAGGAGTGCAAAGTGGCCATGAGACTAGTAAGTGGTCCCCGGCGCACTGGGAGCACGGGCTCCTCTTCTCCTTGATGACTTGGCTCTTGCTGGGGAAAGCCACCTGGATGGAGACCAGGCTGGGGCCACAGCCTCCCTCGCCCACCCCCACGTCTCCACACAAGCCAGCAAAGGGCCTGGGGCCAGGAGCTCTGTCAGCTCTGCCCAGGGCCCTGTTGCCCGGAGGTGCAGTTCCCAGGCTGCCGGCGCCTGGGTTCTCATCTGAAAAGCCAGCCCACCCCCGGGGGCTGCACGGCTCTCAGGGGCAGCAGTGTGTGTGTGTGTGTGTGTTTGTGTGCACGCGCATGTGTTGGGGGTGAGGAAAGGCTGTGCTGCCGTTATGCCTTCCGTGACCTCTCTGGGCCTCCGCTTCTCCAGGATGAGGAGGATGATACTGACGCCTAGCCAGGCGCGTGCCTGTAATCCCCGCAGCTGGGGAGGCTGAGGCAGGAGGATCGCAGTTCAAAGCCTCGGCAACTGAGCAAGACCCTGCCTCAAATAAACCTGAATTTTAAAGGCTGGGGATGTGGCTAAGTGCCCCTGGGCTCAACCGCTGGTACTAAATGACAATGATAGTAACAAATAACGTAACGCCCCTCCACAGACTTGGGGCTCACGTGGAATGGAACCCTAAAGGAGGGTCCCATACAGTCTGGACAGGGCAAGGGTTGAGGAAGCCACCGTGTCCCCAGGCAGAGGCAGGAGCCTCGGGGTGGCACTGAGGACGCTGCCCAGGACTGGCCGGGTCCGCAGGGCTGTGACTGGGAGGCCAAGTCCCCCCTCGGACCTGGTTCCAGAAGGCAGGTCCCCGGCGAGGGCCCACAGAGGCCCAACGGCTGGCTAAGTTCCAGGGGACGGCCACCCTGCACCTCTGTGGTGACCTGGGTTGGACGGGCCCAGCGAGGTCCGTGGCTCCGTCTGACAAACCCCAGGGCACACTCCCCAGTCCGAGCCTCCCCGAGGCCCATGCAGCCTCCAGGGAACCGTGTGAGTGTGCGCGCCCGTGGGCACTTGCTCAGGGGCTCGTGGGTGTGAGGTCACACGAGTGTGAATGGGGTCCGGCTCAGGTGGATCCAGGTGTCTGAGGTTGGTGGCGGACGAGAGCACACACTGTTGTGACACGGCACTGTGTGGCCCTGGGTGGGGGACCCGGTGGCCCTGTGTGTGCATGTGACCACGCATGGAGGTCCTCGTGACCTGCCTCGGGGCTGTGAGGCCGGGGCCCCTGAGCGCGGGGTGTGAGCAGGGAGCACCACAGGGTCACCTCGCCCTGCTGGGTCCCTTGGGGGCAGTGGCTGGGGACCCGCAGAGGCGGAGCCCGGTCAGCAGCCCCCACACCCACGGGACCCCCTCGGCCCCCACAGTGCAGCCTCAACGGGACCGCGTGCGCCTTCTGGAACTTCACCAGCGCCACCCAGGCCGTGACCGAGTGGTACGTGCTGCAGGCCACCAACATCTTCTCGCAGGTGCCGCGCCAGGAGCTGGTGGCCATGGGCTACTCGGCCCAGCGGATGATCCTGGCCTGCCTGTTCGGGACGGAGCCCTGCAGCCACCGGTGAGCCGCCCAGCCACCCCGCTGTCCCCTGCTCTGGGGGTGCTTGGGTTAGGCCTGCAGGGGGTTAGGTGGTGCCTGGGCCAAGGTGCCAGGCTCAGCCTCACCATCACAGGCTGAGCCTCACCCGTGGCAGGGGCTGGAGGCAGGGAGGCCGGCCTCGGGGGAACTTGCTGGGGGACCCCCAGGTGGAATAAACCAGGGGCCGCAGGCCGCCTTGCAGGCTACCGCTTGGCTAGCAGGCTGCAGGCCAGATTCCAACAAGTCACGACTATTGCTAAACCCGTGTGTGACAAGGACTTCAAATCATTGGCATCTATGGGGCCCTCTTATGCTCTACTGTAAGCGCTTCACAGTATAAAACTGCTTTAACCCTATGTCTAGAAGCCCCCGAGAAAGGTCCTGTTATTTCCCCATCCTCCACTTTATAGAGGATGAAACTGAGGCCCAGAGAGTTTAAGTAACCTCTCTGAGGTCACACAGCTGGGCAGTGGCAGAGCGGGCAGCCCAGGGCCAGGCCTCCGGTCAGCCCTCTGCGTGAAAGGCACCCCCCAGCCAGCCTGGCCCAGAAATTTCCCCCAACCTGTCTCTGGGCTGTCTCTCTCCAGAGCTGACCGGACCCGGGCCTTCCCCACTCGGCCCTCGAAGGTGGCCCGGGAGCATGTCCTTCTGCCTTTGCCAACGCTGGGCTCCAACGGCGTGACCCTCCGCCCTCACTGTGACCCGACCTCTCTCTCTGGGGCATAGTACCGTGGTCTTAGGGGTATTCAAGCCACAGTTGGACCCTGAGCAGCCGTGTGGGGGGGGGGGGGAACCTGTTCTGGGCAGTTTGCTTCTCTGTGCGTAGCCCAGGATGAGCACCCTCCGCTCTGGGGTCACACCAGCTTCCACAGGAGAGGAACCACGTTCCCCTCCCTGGGCACCCCGGCAGGGCGTCACGAAGTCCAGCCTACACTCTGGGGATGAGGACAGGTGGACAGGGACAGAGAGAATCGAGCTCCACCTCTCCTGGAGAGACGCATAGATATGATCTGGAATTTTTCCTCTAAGAAAGATTGATTTCTGCCAGGCCCCACGGTGGATGCCTGTGATCCCAGCTACTGGGGAGGCTGAGGCAGGAGGATCACAAGTTCAAGGCCAGCCTGGGCAACTTAGTGAGGCCCAGTCTCAAAATTAAAAAAATAAAAATGAAAAGGACGAGGGACGTAGCTCACTGGTAAAGCACCCCTGGGTTCAATCTCCTGTATAAAAAGAGAGATTTATATTTTTTCTTCTCTATTTATTCATTCAAACATTTAATTATACCAAAATGAACGCCTGCCTACATATTTAGGCTCTGGTTCCACACGTCATTATTTATTTTTGCTTACATTCTTTCAACTTTGGCCACTGAGAGCGCCTCCAGTTACTCCTGCATCCTTTGATATATCCCAATCTTCCAAAAAAAAAAAAAAAAATTATTTTCGGCACTTCCTTACCTTCTGACGTCACAAGGTGCCTGAGCCATTTCTCCAAGGACCCCTGTGTCCTTTTATTTGAGCATGGTATTTAGAACATAAGATCTGGGCATTGATACACCTTTTAAAATTTTTTTTATTGCTTAGGGATCAGCTGACTTCCAACCACACAGTACCCCCGTTGTTATACTGCTTCCGGCTGAGATGGTCCATTTCCTAGTTTGGGGATTTTTTTTTTCGGGGGGCAGGGGGGTGTCTGGCTGTGTTTCCCAGGTTAACCTGGAGCTCCTGGGCTCCGGCGATCCTCCTGCCTCAGCCTCCCTAGGAGCTGGGACTTCAGGCAACGCCTGCACACCGTCTCTCCCTGCCTCTTCTGGGGACCTGCTGGTGTCCCTCTGCACACTAGGTTCCTGTCCCAGGAGAGGGTTTTGGAGGGAAAGCTCTGGAACCGGAGGGGACCGGTGCTGGGAGCAGCCTCTCAGGGCCAAGAGCATGATCAACAAGCAAATAGTTGGCACCGAGGAGAAAACCCACCACGAGGCCGGGGCAGGAAGGACCTGGCCGCACCCCAGGGGCGGCCTCTCCTCCAGGCTGCATCTGCCCACGGCAGCTCCTTGGGAACACTGTGTCCGGTGGCCGGGGCGGGGTCAGCCGCCTGGCGTTGGCTGGTTTGTCCTGTCGTCCTCTCCCCTGTGGCCACAGCCCGGATCCCACCCTGTGTCCAGGGGCCACCCATAGCTTTCCCTTCCCCCCAGGCTTTGCCCAAGCGGTGCCCCTGCCTGACGGCCCTGTCCCCTCCCTGTCCCTAGGCCTTGCCACCTCCACTGGCTGCGTCTGTCAGTCCCCTCTCCCCACGGGGAATTGGGTGTCCCTCCTCCGCGCTTATCTCCGCGATGCCCTTATCACACATCACAGTTTATTCAACAAATATTTACTAGGTGTCTGTGTCCTGTGTCAGGCCCCGGGCACAGCGATGTCAGCTGTAACAGCCACACACACACACACACACACACACGCACACACACACGTTGTTAGGCGTCTAACACCTCAGTCCCACAGGGTGGCTGCTGCCACTATCCTGGGGACATAGTAAGAGACAGGGAAAGTGAGACACAGAGCATTGAAGTCCCCGAGCTCACCGGCTGCTAACGGACAGAGTTCCAGGTCAGACAGCTTCAGGACCCGGCTCTTGACCTTGAGCTGCCCAACTTCAGATACAAGGTCACACGTCCAAACTGGGCTCACAGCCCAAGCAGAAGGGAGGCAGATGACAAGTGAGCAAGATGATGTCACACTCGGGTGCCTTCCATCGGGGAAATCAAGAGGCAGGGATGAGGGAGGCGGGGAGGTGGGTTATGATCTGTCAGAGCTGAGGTTCTAGGAACTGATGGTCCACCTCTGTCACTTGGCATTAGGGAGGGGCCATGGGAATTCTCAGAGCAGGTGGGATTTGAACCATGAGGAAGAGCAGGTGCAAAGGGGCTGGGGTTGGGAACATCTGGTGGAGGAGTGTAGAAACCCAAGGCTGGAGTGTGCATCTTATTCTGAGAGCAGCCAGGGAAGGCTGAGCAGGGGCGTGGCTTGTCTGATTGACAGTTGTCCACAAGGGGCCCTGACTGTTGGCAGGCAGCAAGGGGGGCGGTGGGGACACCACACAGAGGCTTTGGCAGGGGTCTGGGTGGGAGGCGCTTCTCAGGCCAGCCCTATCCAGTTCTCCTCACTGCCTTAGCCCGGGACCCACCTCAGTCAATGTTTGTTGAGTGAAAAAATGTGGTTTCTTCCTCATTCCCCTTTCACCAAGGAGGAAGGCAAAGCTCAGAGGCAGAGAAAGCAGCTCAGCTCTGTCAGACATGACAGAGCCAGCCCAGGACAGTTCCCAGATCTGATTTCTCAGCGGCCTGGGCTGGACCCACCTCATTCTGCTGACCCAGAGGCTGAGATGAAAGATACAGGAAATGGCTTCCTTATCGGGAAAATCAGTGAAAATAGCCCTTGACTTTATGAGGTTATTTTGAGGATGAAGTGAGATTGTGTGTGCAGAAACATTCAGCATGGGCCTGGCCCGTGGGAAGTTGCTCAATAAGTGTTGCAGAATATAAGGCTTAATAGACAGTTCTGCACAGCGGTTAATTTTTAACATGATTTCCTGTGCTTATCCCCCAACCTTTTTTTTTTTGTTTGTTTTGAGACAGGATCTCACTAAATTGCTGAGGCTGGCCTCAAACTTGCCATCCTCATGCCTCAGCCTCCCTAGTTGCTGGGATCACAGATGTGCCAAGCTGCACCCCAGCTTATATTTGTTTTGAATAAATATAAAAGAACAATATAAAAACGTTGATAAGTATTTTTAAAGCATTTATGGTGGGCTTCTCTGTATCAGAGATTCTCCTCTAGGGCCAACCTGAATCCCCTCAGATAACATCCTCTCAAGATTTTTGGTTATATCTGCAAAGACCCTTTCTCCAAGTAAGGTCTCATCCAGAGGCTCCGGGGGTTAGGATGTGGACAGGTCTTTTTGGAGGTGTCTATGAGACCAGATGCAAACATCTAAGAAAGTTCTTTTTCATAACTCATGGCTAAACCAGGGAGCCTGTCCCCCGATTCCTGAGACTCCCTTCCTCCCTCTTTCCCAAGGGATCCTGGGAGTCGCCTCTCTCTGGTTTCTGCAGGGGGGTGGACAGAATGGCCTGTTGCTCATCTCTCCCTTTCTGAGCCTCTCTGAGCAACGCAGGGAGGGCGGGCCGTGGTGGTGGGATCCCCTCTGCAGGCTGGGGAGGCTCTGCCGGTGCCTCCCCCCAGCCGATGGCTCTTCTCTCAGGAACTTCACGGCCATCTTCTACCCCTACTACGGCAACTGCTACATCTTCAACTGGGGCATGACGGAGAAGGCGCTCCCCTCTGCCAACCCCGGGAGTGAATTTGGTGAGTCCTGGTTCTGGATCCAGAGGCCAGATCCAGGAGGCTCTAAGCCCTCTGCCCCGCAGGGCTGGAAAGGCCCCCTGTGGTTGGCCCCCGGAGCTCAGGGTTAGACCTGGGCTAGCGCAGAGAGGCGTGGCCATAATGGAGCGCCTGCTGTTTGCCTGGGGGCTGGAGAGGCGGGGCCAGGCGCCTTCTCAGCCCCTCCCCTCCCCAGGCTCGCGACCCTGGGGGAGGGGCTGGTGTCCCGTTTTGCAGCCCGGCAAGGTGAGGCTGGGGACGTGGTGCAGCTTCAAGGTCAAGCTCCAGGCCGGGTAGAATCCCAGCTCCACCCCTCACTCCCCGGGTGATCCTGAGCTCAGGATCTCTTCATTGGGAGAAGAGGCTCTTGGTAGCACCGCACAGAGAGGTCACCTTGTGAGTCACTCTGTCACCCTGCGGTGAACTGCTTGGCCAGGCCTGGGAAGCAGAAAATGCTGCACGTGCGCAGGGGACTGACTCTTGAGAAGCCTTTGGACAGCTTCCCCGAGACCACCCATTAGTCCAGGGCATGCACTTGGCCTCTCCTACCCACTGCTTAGAGAACCCCAGAGACAGGGCGCGGAGGACTAAAGGAAGCAAGGAAGGACAGAATGGCTGACCCTAGGCACCTTTTCCCTGGGGCCAACGCAGTGGCCTGTCCCCCAGGGCAAGGCTGGCAGGCTGTGGCTTTCAGGCTTGTGAGCTGGACCCAGGTGGGAGCCAATCCTTCTCCCACCGCCCAGACTGTGACCTCCCCCCTACCACCAAGAAGCAGGTCATCATTCAGTGACCATCAGGGCTATTAGCCAAGAGGGGGTCAGTGACCCCGTTCCTTAAAGCACTGCCCTCCAGGGACCCCTTGCTTCATGGGGCAGAGCATCACAACAAGGAGCCCGCAGCCTGGGTGAGGACCCAGCAGCCCCGCCTCCTTCATGAGTGATCTGGGACCGGTCCCTTCACCTCTCTGTGCCTTGTTTGCTCTTCTAAGTGGGAATAATGACAGTGCCCATCTCCTGGGCCTCCCAGGAGCATCCAACAGCATCGGGTCCCTCAGCCCTTTTTTGTCCTAAGCCCTGGGACTCGCTCCAGTGCCCACCTAGCCCAGGACTAAGGGGCACAGAAGGTTGGGTCTGATCCCCCAAGAAGGGCCCGGTGGGGAATGAAGAGAGAATCACACGAGCGAGGCAGGTGCCGGGAAGGAGAGTTTCAGAGCTAGGGAAGCCCCTGAGACCTGGTGTGGACAGTCACTTCTGCAGGAAGAGACACGGGGCTTTGATCTGAAGCAAGAGCAGGAGGTTCAGGTGAAGGGTGAGGCCGGCAGCCTCCAGAGCAGGAAGGAGCTGGGAGCTCAGAGGCCCTGAATGGGGAGAATGAGGACCTGGGTGAGAGGGCACAGGGTCGGGTGGCTGGGTGGGTGGTGCTGTGTCTCCAAGATCTACCTGTCGTGCAGAAAAGGTTATGGGGGCAGAGGCCAGGAACAGCCCTAGGAGGGGACGATGGGCGATCTGGGGTCTGGATTTTGCCGGCTCCTCGGCAGGCCCTGGGGCACCCCTTGCTGCAGGGGGCTTGGACAAGGGGCTGGTGGGCTTCCCCTCACCCCAACTTCCCCACAGGTCTGAAGTTGGTGCTGGACATAGGCCAGGAGGACTATGTCCCCTTCCTCGCATCCACGGCCGGGGCCCGGCTGCTGCTTCACGAGCAGAGGACGTACCCCTTTATCCGAGAGGAGGGCATCTATGCCATGACGGGGACAGAGACCTCCATCGGCGTGCTGGTGGTACAGCTGGAGCGCAAGCGCAGCCCGAGGGCGGCTGAGGGTGGAAGCCCACCTGCTCAGGGCCAACCTGGCCGAGAGGAGGGGATCCGGGGCCCCAGCCCTGGCCCTGCCTCCCAGGCCCCCGGACCCTGGGGGAACCCTGCAGCGAGCCCCGCTCTGGCGGAGGCTGAGCCCTCTGGCGCCCCCTCTGGCGCCTGCGGGTACTACAGCTCCCCTGCCCCATTCAGCATCCCCCGAGTTTGTTGGGTGGGACGTACAGAGGGGGCCTTCAGGGGTGATCCGGGGTCCTCTTGAGCAACCTCTCTTGCCCCAGGACAAGCTGCAGCGCATGGGCGAGCCCTACAGCCCGTGCACTGTGAACGGCTCCGATGTCGCGGTCCAAAATCTCTACAGCGACTACAATACGACCTACTCCATCCAGGTGGGCAGGTTGCGCAGGACCCTGGACCCTGGGGCCCCTGTCCACGTCTCCCGGCCGCAGGCCTCAGGTCTCTGAGAGAGGGCCCGGCAAGGCTGGCTGGGCTGGATTTTTGTAGGTAGCCACAGGCACAGTTCCTGGGTTCTCACCAGGGCCCAGGGCGGGCTATCTGCAAGTCCCCAGTTGGGCAGATGTGCCCTTGGGAACCCAAGATTAGAAAGGATCTTGCTCTGGGGTCTCCCAAGAGGGGAAAAAAAAAAATTAGGATCATTACCGAGCTCCCAACTGTGTGATTTGCATGCATCATATCATCATCTGATCCCTTCAAACCTCCCAGGCGAAAGTAGAGTACTAATAGCCTTTAATAATATGTTAATGAGTTGGCTTATCACGTGTGAGGCAGGCGCTGTTGCAAGTATTTCACATGCTTTACCTCATTTAATCCTCACAACCACCCTAGGATGTAGAAACTATTATTCCCATTTCAAGATGGGGGAATGGGGACATTTGGATTTACAGACCCCAATCTGAACACCTCATCCGTTTACCTGGGACGTCCCTCTTTATATCTGCCCTCGGCCTCCCTTGCTGCAGCTGGAGGTTTCTTTCTTGACCTGGTCTCCACTTCCATCCCTGTCTGTGTTGACAGAAAAGAAATGGAGTCCAACAAGGGGCAGCCCTGTGCCTGCCTCCAAGTCTGGGAAACCCACATTTAGTGTTTTCCCTTAGGAAATCGATCCCCGGCCACTGCCCACTTGCCCAGCTGTCTCACTGCACACTCACGCTGGCTGGCTGGGCCTCCTTTGGTCTGCTGTGGGCAGCTCTGGGAATCTTCTGAGTCTCTGAAGGGCTGGACAGACAGGCTGGACAGACAGGCAGGCAGCAAGGGGAAGTGGGAAAATGGAGGAGGAGGCCCCAGCCCCGGAGGCCTCGTTCCTGGGAAACCAGCTCCTCCAAGACTCTCACCGGAGTCAGGGCGCGCAGCCTGACCCCATGGCCTCCTCTGGGCCAGGCTCCAGGTCCTCCTGGCCATGCCATTGACTCTGCTGTCAGTCCCACCCCCTGCCTGCAGGGACCCCACAAGCCCCTCAGGAAGAGAGGAAGGCCACACAGTGACCTGGGGGAGCAGGAGAGGAGGGCACAGAGGAGCAGGGTTGGAGCCAGGAGTCCACGGGAGCTGGCAGTCAGGACAGTGGACAGCCGCTGACTAAGGGCCTGATGCCATGCGGAATCCTCTGGACCCCGGAAGGCAGGGGTGACTGTCACCCTGTTTCCCCGTGAGTAAACTGAGCCTGAGGTTAATCACTTGCCCTAGGACACGTGGTCGGTCCCTGAGTGGGCTGAAGCCAGGTCAGAATGACCTGAACACCCCGCGGCGTGCTGGGGCCCAGTGAGTGGAGACTCACCACATCCAGCCCCAGAGCAGGGTGCGCCGTGTGCCCTCTTCTCGCTCCCCACCAGGGGACACTCTGCAGAGCAGCTGCCCATTCTCTTCCTGTTCTGGGCCATCAGAGGTCCTTCTCCGGCTCTCCCTGGCTCTTCCCCCAGGAGGAAGGGGCTCAGGCCGGCTCGCCTGGCTTCCTCAAGCTGCCCTCTGGGTCCCTGGATGCAGAGCTTGGAAGGGCGCTGGCACCTGAGGAGAAGAGGTGGTGCTCTAGGTGTGAGCTTTGTGGTTTGGGACAAGCCACTTCTGCTGTGTCATTTATGGGGTGCCATCTATGGAGAGACCTGGACTTCGGGGGCCTTGTCTGGTCTCTCTGTGGGGTTCAGTGATCTGCTATGTGGCCCAAGGAGGAAGGACGGCCACACCCCAATGACAGGGTCCGTCACCACAACTTGGTCATCTCAAGCCTGCATCTTAGGCCAAGGGGCATCTCTCCGGGCCCCCAGCTCCCTTGACCTGGGTGTTGAATTCTTGGGGTCCTTCTTCTGCCACCAGAGTGGGGACATCACTAGCCAGGTCTGTGTTCCCTCCCCAACCTCCAGGCCTGTCTCCACTCCTGCTTCCAAGACCACATGATCCATAACTGCAGCTGCGGCCACTACCTGTACCCGCTGCCCCGGGGGGAGAGATACTGCAACAACCAGGATTTCCCAGACTGGGGTGAGTGCAGGTTCACGCTGGGGCCACTGCCCACAGAGCAGAGAGGAGAGCTGGGGGCCCTGAGCAGGGCCCTGGGGTGTGTCAGGGCGGCCCCTCCTCTGTCCACAGTCTCCTACCACCCATCCCAGGCCTGTCTGCAGGAACTCAGCCCTGTCTCCCCGACTCCATGAAGTGCCTGCTTGAAACACATAGGAGCAGGAGTCCGTCTGTCCTCCAGGGCATGTGTCTGTGTGCCACACAAATGCCAGCACAGGCATGAGCCTGGGAATGGGCCCGGGAGACAGCACGGTGTGTGTGTGGTTGTGTTTTCCAATGCACGTGTGCAAGGGCATGTCTGTGTTTGCACCTGAGTGTGCAGGAGCACTTGGGGATGACAGGACCTGTCTGTGAGTGCTGTGCTCGGGCACAGGTGGCTTCCAGTGTCTGCGTCGTGCATCCTGGCTTGGATGCACACGTGTGCACAAGGCCGTGTGTGGTGCTCGGCGGGTGTGTCCATGTCTGAGTGGCATCGCTGGGTCTCTCTGTGGCATGCTGGGCCCGAGGAGAAAGTGATAGAGTCCTGATGGTGATGTCCTCCAAGGACAAGGAGCCCCTGCTGGGCTCCCACGGAGCTGGAGCCCAGGCCTGAAAGCCCTGGTGGCCTGGAATCCAACAACCTGGGTGTTGTCAGCAGCAGGGGTCCCGCCACCTCTTAAAACAAACATGAACACAGTGGCCCACACCTGTAATCCTCAGCCTCTCAAGAAGCTGGGGCAGGAGGATCGTGAGTTCAAAGCCAGCCTCAGCAAAAGCGAGGTGCCGAGCAGCTCAGCGAGACCCTGTCTCTAAATAAAATACAAAACAGGGCTGGGGAGAAAACCCCATCCATGGGCAGAGATGGAGAGGGCTCCCCAGGGGGTCCTGAGCTGGGTCTAGGGCACCCGAGGGAAGCATCCCAGGGTTAGGCTGCGGCAAAATGGCTGGAGGTGGCTGGAGTCGGGGTGGCAATGATTCCCCATGACCAGAGAGCGTGGGTTGAGACACCACATCCCCATCTAACCCCAGGCCTCGGGTGGCCCCGGGCCAGGAGGGCAGAACAGGGTGAAGGGTGGACCCCTAGACCACCGTCCGTCCACCCCTATTGGCCATTCCTCTCTCCCGCCCAGCCCACTGCTACCTAGACCTGCGGATGAGCGTGGCCCTGAGAGAGACGTGCATCAGCATGTGCAAGGAGTCCTGCAAGTGAGTGTGGCGAGGGGACGTGGGCACTGCCGTGGGCCAGCAGGGAGGGGGGCCGACGTTGGCAGGACAGCAACAGGGCTGCTTCTCTTTTCCAGTGACACCCAGTACAAGATGACTATCTCCATGGCCGACTGGCCTTCTGAGGCCTCCGAGGTGAGACGGTGGGAGTGGCCACGCTCCTGGTCCCCATCTTTGGGCTGACAGGTCCCAATCTTTGGGGGGTGGTATTTTCCTCCTTCCCTCCTTCCCTTCGGCTCTCCCACTGACATTCCCCAGGCACCGGGCCGGGGACACTGCAGAGGATGAGATGGGCCCGAGGGTCCTGCCCTCGTGGAGCTTACTGTCTATCACGTACACAGAAGTAAGATCACGTTCAAGGTCAACGGTGGCTGTGAGGGAGTAAGCAGGAGAGCACCCAGAGGGGTCAGGGACGCCCCTCTACAAAGGCGACATCTGAGCTGAAACCCAGAGGCTGAGCCAGTGGTGGGCAGAGCCAGAGGAGCCCAGGCAGAGGGGACGGCAAGTTCAAGAGGTGGGAATGGACCTGGGACAAGGTCCATTGTGGCCAGGCCTGTCCAGAAGAGGCTGGAGACCCGAGCTCCCCTCCTGCCAACAGCAGCCGCAGCTTCTCCCGCGGCCTCCTCCTACAGCCCCTTCCTGCGGTCCCTGGGGGCTTCAGGAAGGTGCAGGGCTGTGTTCCTTTTCCCCACTGGTAGCATGGACCGCGATGGACCGCGATGGACCATGGACTGCGATGGGGGAATGTGAGGTGTGAGCACCACGTTCTTAGTTGCCTTCTTGGGTTCTAGGACTGGATTCTCCACGTCCTGTCTCAGGAGCGGGACCAGAGCCCCAACATCACTGTGAGCAGGTCAGCCTGAAGCCTGGGCGGGCTGGGAAGGCAGGGAAGGGGAGGAGCCAGGGCCTGGGGGGTGGGGTCAGATCCAGGAGCAAGGCTAGGGAAGGAAGCCCCGAAGGCAAGAGGGAGGAAGGCAGCCAGGAAGATTGGGGTCTTCCAACCCCTGGAGGAGAAGCACGCTCTTCATCAGCCCCCCCCCATCCCTCATCCCCATCCCTCCCCTGTCTCTCTCCACCTGCTCAGCACAAATGTGTGTTGAGCACAGGGAAGACACAGTCCATACCACCAGGATGCTCAAGCCCAGAGACAGATGCAAAAAGAGCTCACAGCAATGAGGGTCTGTAGAGCCCCCTCCCCTTCAGGGACAGGAGGGAGGGAGCCTCAGTGTGCCTGAGAGATAAGGGGGGTCCGTGTAGGAAGTGGGTGAGAAACAGGGACTGTTCAAATAAGAAGCAAAGAACACATATGAATAGGGGGGACCCCCTCTCAGCCAACCTTCCCTGCCCCAGGGGCCCTAATCCCCGCAGAACTCCTCAGCACTCTATGCAGGGTCACCGAATGTGGGCGGGTCACCGAATGTGTCCTGGCCGCCCTAGACCTGGGGAAAAGGGAGCTCAGAGCTGATCTTTGGGGCTGTCCCAGGCCAGAGTGTCTTCAGGAAGATGGCAGGACAGGGGTCAACAGGGTAGATACCCTCTGTGGCCCCGCGGTGCAGGGAGGCTGGCAAGGTGACCTGTTTGGTCTGGTTTGGCTTCACCACTCCTCGCAGTATGAGCAAGTCAGAGCAGGGGAGGGCCGGGTGGCCCCGTGGCTTCCCTACCCGGGGTGTGCAGGGAGCCCCGGGTCCCAGCCCCTCCTGCTGCCTCTGCAGGAACGGCATCGTCAAGCTCAACATCTACTTCCAAGAATTCAACTATCGCACCATCGAGGAATCAGCAGCCAACAATGTGAGTTTGGGGAGGCTCCTGACACCCCAAAGGGTGGAGATCAGGAAGGTCCCTACAGCCAGCTGAGCTATTTCCCTGGGCTGAGGTGGTCACCCTGCCCCCTTCCCTTCCCAGTCAACGGTGCACCCCACAGGAACCCCTGAGCCTGGGTGAGGGGCAAGAGCTTGTGCCCACTCTCCGCCCAGCCAGGCCCTCAGCGCCCCATTCCCCACAGATCGTCTGGCTGCTCTCCAACCTGGGCGGCCAGTTTGGTTTCTGGATGGGGGGCTCCGTGCTGTGCCTCATCGAGTTTGGGGAGATCATCATCGACTTCCTGTGGATCACCATCATCAGGCTGGTGGCCTTCCTCAGGAGCCTGCGGCGGAGGCGGGCCCGGGCTCCCTGTGACAGCCCCCCGCCCACTGTGGCCGAGCTGGTGGAGGCCCACACCAACTTTGGCTTCCAGCCCGACCCCGCCAGCCAGGCCGAGGGCTACCCCAACGGGCAGCCACTGCCCATCCCGGGCACCCCGCCCCCTAACTATGACTCCCTGCGTCTGCAGCCGCTGGACACCATTGAGTCTGACAGTGAGGGTGACGCCATCTAGACCCTGCCCCTGCCCACCCCGGGCGGCTCACGTACTTGAAGCTGAGAAGCTGAGACCGTGGCTCAGTGCCTTGCTGTATAGTGCCCTCTCCAGAGAGCCAGGACCACCGGTGTCCAGGGCCTGGCCCCCTCCGTAGAGAGGCCAGTAGCCACTGCCAGGCCCAGGCTGCAGGGTCCGCAGGGTCACGGTGCAGGACGCCAGAACTGGGTTCTCACCTGGCTCCTGCCCTTCCTGTCCTGGGCCTACCTGACCTGCCCTCTGGCTCTAGAGACCCCTCTCCTGGTGTCAGGCCACTTTCTTCCCAATGTCAGTCACTGTCCCAGAGATGACCAGGTGGGTCTACCATGTTCCCCAGAATCAGTGGCCTTTCCCTTACTGGCCTTGACTGACCTCTGTGAACAGGCTTAGCAAAGGCAGCAGTGGGGGGGGGGGGGCAGGGGGAGCACCAGGAGGGGGGGCCTGCAGGTGGCACATTTGTCGTTCTACAAAATAAAAGTGGAAGACATTGCGTCCAGCTTTGTTCTTTGTCTTAGTGGGCAGCGGAGGTCCTCACGCGTGCCTGGGACAGGAAGGGCGTCTATCCTGGCTTGAAAGCCAAGGTCTTAAGCAGGTCAAGAGCGTCTCTCTCTTGTGATTCTTATAGTTCCTTTCCAGCTGTTCCTTTCCCTGAAGCAGAGGCCTAGCGGTTTCTTCTTTTTGGGGAGAAGAGTGGGTAGCAGGGATTGAACTTGGGGCACTTGACCACTGAGCCCACCCCCAGCCCTACTGTGTATTTTATTTAGAGACAGGGTCTCCCTGAGTGGCTTAGTGCCTTGCAGTTGCTGAAGTTGTTTTTGAACTCGCGATCCTCCTGCCTCAGCCTCCCGAGCAGCTGGGATCACAGGTGTGCACCACAGCTAATGGCTACAATGCCATCCAACTATTTCTTTGGGTTACAAGGACAGAGAGAGCAACTCAAACCAGCTTAACCCATCAAGTCTCAAGTTTTCAGTTCTGTGAATGTTTCAGTGAAACTGACACAGGTGCATTGAAATAGGTTAGAAGTCACAGTCTAGAGCTCATGTCTATTAAATATTATTATGATTATGTTATTAATAATTGTATATTATATACTATGTTTCGATTTTTGTAGTATCTCACATCAAGGACAGTGGGATGAAATGGGTTAAAGCAAGACACTCTCAGGCAGCTCAAACCATTCGGTCTCCCTCTGCTCCCCAAGGCCACCTCTCCTTGCATTTGCAGCCCCCAGGCTGACGCTCATTGGCCCCTGACTGGGTCACATGCCTGTTTCTGAACCAATGAGTGGTCCAGCTGGGTAGGCTGCTCTGATTGGTCAAACCTGAATTCATTTGCCCAGACCTGACTGCCTGGTTGGCCCCCAGCAGAATCACCTGGTCCCAGGTAATGGGAAATGGCTCCTAGGGTTGCCGGAAAAAAATTTAAGCTGCTCAGTTAAATTAGAATTTCAGATAAATATAAAAATAATTTTAGGTATAAGTATATCCATGCAATATTTATAATACACTAATAAACCATTTGTTGTTTTTCTGAAATTTACATTTAAATGAGCATCCTGGATTTTTTATTGCTAAATCTGACAAACCTAATGGTTCCCCAGGAAGGGATCAGGGAGCAATTACCAAAGAAGGGGGCCTGACGGTCTAGACAGCTGACCGCTGCAGCCCCCTGCTGCCACCGACCAGGTTCAAGTCTTGAAGCAGCTCCGGCTTCAGAGCCTGGCCCACATTCACAGTTAATGGTTCTTAGAGGTGGCACCAATGGAAGGTCACTGGGATTAAAGTCATCAGGGTGAGCCCCTTGATGGCATTAGTAGCTTCGTAAGAAGAGGAAGAGAGACCCGAGTCAGCACACCTGCTGTGTCTCGCCATGGGACGCCCTCTGACATGTCAGGATGCAGCAGGAAGGTCCTCAGCAGACGCAAGCCCCTCGATCTTGAACTTCCCAGCCTCCAGAACCTTCACCTAAATAAACCTTTATTCTTTATAAATGATACAGCCTGTGGTGTTCAGTCATAACCACGGAAATCAGAGAAGTGGCAAAGCCGCCATCCCAGCCTGCCTGTCCCGGTGCCAGTGGCCCTGACAGCATCATTTCCGGATGGGAGCTCCGGCATCTTGTCTGACCTGTGGACAGGCAGGTGCTGATCATCACCTCCTTTTGCAGCCCTTTGGTCACAGGTCCATTTGAACTGGCTTAAGCTTTGAAGGGAATTTATTAGCTCTTGTAGGCAAGGCCCAGCATGGCTGCGTGCAGGGTTCCCTGGAGCTGGTGTTTCTGCATCGATGTCCCCTTAAACAGGCTCTCTCCACGTTCTGCTCCTCCAGAACGTCTTTACGTCCCTCAATCCAGCTCCACCCCATGAGCTCAGCAACAGAGGAAAGAGAGCTCCCTCTCCTTCAGCACCCCGTGAGAGGTCCAAGGAAGGAGCTCAGTTGGATCCATCTGGGCCACACGCTCATCCTGAACCCATCACTGTGACAGGGGACGGGCGGTGCTGCCTGGCCAGGGGACCCCAGGGGGATCTATGGAGGGCAGCCCTGACAGACACCATAACAGGTTCTGTTTAGAGATATTCTGGAGCTGCCTGTGGGCATGTGAGTGGGGACCAGGCTGATGGTGGGCCTCATCCTGCCATCTTGCTCTCAGGGGGACAGTGGGGCTAGGCAGGCTGAAGGCAGGCTCCATCAAGCATCCATCATCCCCTGGATCTAGAGAAGTGCTGTCCCCTGGGGGCATCCCAGAGCCTCTAGGAATGAAAACTCAGGCTGGCAATGCCCAATTGCCTGGAAAATGGCATTCGATGACTCACTTCTGATGCAAAAGGGAAGCGACGTCACAGACGCTGGAGGACTAAGATGAGCATGGATCCTGAACTCACTGGGCTCCATTGCCTCCACTGTACCTCAGTGGCTTTGCAAATAATCCTCAGTTGGGCACCATTATGACCCTTGGTTTTCAGATTAGGGAAAGTGGCACAGAGAGGTGAAAAGTCTTTCTTTTCTGTAGGTCACACAGCTGGGAGGTGGTAAAGCCACGTCCAGCCCAAGTCTGACCCTTCCAAACATCTCTTCTGTGGCTCTCATAGAGCAGCACAAAGGTCACCACGGTGAGTTTCCATCTTCCAGGAGCACAAGTCACGTTTCAGGCTTCCAGCTCTGGCTTCTTCAAGGAAGGAGCCAGGCCTGCCTCCTGCCAGGGGCAGTCTGTGATCCACCACCAGAGAAACCCAAATGTTGTTCTCAGTGTGGGTTCCCAGCGGGTGCTGTGTTGGGCAGTCAGGCTGGTTCCAAGGATGCAAGAACAGTCCCAGGGGACCCTGGCCCTGGAAGCCTGCGGAGGCGCAGGGTGCAGCTCTACAGAGCAGGCACAAGCACACTGACCCGCCAGGACCAGGTGTCCACAGTGGGTCCCCTCACCGCACAGGGCATGGGTCAGAAATACAAATGCCATTGTCACCAGGCTTACTCCAAGCCCCAGCTCTGGTAGTTGAGTGATCCCAGGAAGACCCCAAACCTCTCCAAACCAGAGATCATAACTCTGTCTTCCACAGCTGTGCTGAGGCTTAGCTGAGAGAATCCAGAAGGAAGTGAAGCTTAGCCAGGCCCTGAGGCCCCGAGAAGTGCTCGATTCCAATAAATGGCCCTGTGACAGACAGCTGCCATTCCCTTTTTCCTTGCCAAGAAAAACCTGGCTTTGTGCAGGGCAGCCATCAGCCCAGCCCAGCAGCAACTCCTGATCGGTCTAAGCAAGTGTTTCCCACGCTGCGGTGAGTGTGCCCCTCAGGGAATTTCTCCAGACATCTTCAGGAGGCCACTAAGGCTGCCCCCCCACCCCTGCAAGACATGGGACAGCTCCACAGGGACGAGCTCTTAGCCCAAAGCATCAGGAGGACCAGGCTGAGAAACGCTGGTTGAAGCTGGTCCTGCTCCTGTTTTCCCAGCATCCCTTGCAGCTGGGGAGACATCTTATAACCAAGGAAGAGCCAACGCGGCCCAGGAGAAGTCTGGGCAGGGCTGCTGGCAAAGGCCCTGCCCTCACGATGGGAAAGAGAGCGCTGCTGCTCCGCAGCCCCTCCCGCCTTCCTCTTCCCAGAGCACAGGTGTAAGGGGTCCCAGCAATGAGGCGGCGTCCAGCCCCGGGAAAGGGTCGAGATCACCCTGCTGGTCCTGCTCCAGGCTGTGCAGGCACAGAATGAGTCAAGGCCTCTGACTTCTCCTTGTTGAGGAAAGTCAATTCCTCCTTGTTCTAGTCACTCAAATCACATTATTTTCTGTTACTTTTAAGCCAAACACAATCTTAACCAGTTACGAAAGCAACTGACAAAAAACAAGAAAAGAAAAAAGAAAAAGAATGAATGCAGTTCACATGGCCCCACAAACCTCTAAAGGAAAGAGCCAGAATCCTCCCGGGGCCTGCGAGACCCCATGTGGCTGCCCACCTTCCCCTGACCCAACTTCTTCCCTCCCTCTGCCTTGTCCTGCTGACCCTGGGTCCCGTGAGGGCCCAGCCCAGAGCTCCCTGCTGCACAGCTGCACCCTGAAGGTCTGGGGGCCCCACCCGCCCTGCAGCCTCCCGCCAGCACTTGGCCTTGTTCCCTGCTCTCCACCCCCCTCACAGCCACATGCCCGCTGCTCAGCACGGACCCCGTGGGCAGCACTCAAAGACTCACTGAGGGAAGAAACAGCCTTCTTTCATTTCGTTTATTAATTTCATTTTTAAAATGAGATCATTTTAAAAAAATCAACTGAAAAGTCCTTTCTAATAAATAAACTACCTCTTACTTACAACCTTTTTCATTATACAAAAGAACCAAGTCTTCCTAAAGCAACCTGTGCCTCATTGCTGGCAGATTTTGAGGGGAGTCCACTCTGTAGAGCCGTGGTGCCCCGAGAACACCAGCCCCGAGCCTCTCCTCGGATGGGCCGTGGGGTCAGTAGCTCACACCCCGCATGGCGGCCACCGTGGTGCTGAGGCGG